GCTCACACTTAGTCCACCCGATTTATCAGAGAATCCTGAGGACCTTCATTTATCTCCTCAAATTTTCCTTGACTTTTGATCTGCTGATCCCATTTATTGAAATTGGACGGAGTATTACATTGCTGATAAGTATGCCTCGACTGCTTGCAATTCCTTCACACTAGTGTATAATCATCATTGGCTTTAGAATTAGAACATTCACTGGCATAATGACCAACCTCTCTGCAACAAAAATGATGAAGTAGTATTTCTGTACCCCCGTCATGCATATTGGGTGTCTCCACCGGTATATACCTACTAGGCTTGTTCCATTTAGGGTTGGAAAATAATCCTGGTTGTCCCGTTGGTACAGAGGGTACTTGGTTCGATGACGCCGGTGGAATGACATTAACTGACCCTGAATATTGGCATTGGAATTGGCCACTGTTTCTAACATCCAAGATGACTAAATATTAATAATATCTTTTTCATTTATAATTTCACCATATAGTCGTGTTGCAACATGACACCATTTTTGGGATCTTCCAATCCATAATAATTTGAATTTTCTTAGGATCCATCATAAGTCCATCATTTGAAATGATGTATCCTAAGAAGTCCACTTGAGTAGTGTAAAATACAGACTTTTCTATCTTCACATAGAGTCTTGCATCTCTTAGCTTTTGTAATATACGACAAACATGAAGTTTATGTTTTCCTATGTTCTTAGAATAGATTAGGATATTGTTTAGGTAATAGACAACAAAATCATCTAAAAACTCCCAAAAGACATCATTCATTACATATTGGAATATTGTTGGTGTATTTGTAAGTCCAAAAGGCATGACGTTGTATTCGAAATGTCCATACCTTGTTCAAAACGCAATCTTCCATTCATCTCTTTCTTTGATGTGTACCATATTGTATACTCATCGTAGATCTATTTTTATATAGATCTTAGCTTGATTCAACTGATCTAAAAGTCAAGATATCAAAAGTAGCAAGTACCTATTTTTGATAGTGATTTTGTTGAATCCTCGATAATCAATATGCATCTGCAATAATCCATCTTTTTTTTTTTACAAATAAAATTGAAGCTCCTATTGGAGATTTGGAATGGAGTATGAAGTTCTTGGCGAGATTCTCTTCAATATATTCATTAAGTTCAGCCAACTCATTTTATGATAAATTATAGATTAGTCCAAATGGTGGTTGTACTCCTTCTTGAAGGTCAATTGAGCAATCATAGGAATGATGTTCAGGAAGAGTATCTGCATTTTTCTTCTCAAATACATCTTAAAAATCTTGAAATTGGATTGGAATGCCACTTGAAGTCTTTCGACTAGTAGAAACAGGTGTGGCATAAATGACACAAGGTGATCCTTGTTTTGCAACATGCAAGAAAGCTCTTACACTTACAAATACAAGTTTAATTGTACTATACTTATGATTTTCTACTTGATTAATTATGCTCTTAGTTATACTTTCAAAAAAGTCAAGACTACAAGAAGTCTAATTTATTTTTGGATTATATTTTTTTAGCCATGATAAACCTAAAATGACTGAATTAGAGTGAGATCTAATAATATTAAATATTATAAAGCTACTATGACCATTAGTTGCTACTTCTATAGGAAACATTTCATGAATAACATCTCTTGAAGACATCAGACAACCATCTATGACTTCTACATGAACAGATTTAGTCTTCTTCACTAAAAGTATGCTATGTCTTTTAACAAATTCTTTATCTAAGCAACATACTGAGGCTCCTGAATCTAGCAAGGTAGAGGCTTTGTGATGCTTAGGTCGTAGAATAACATTTATTGTAAAACATGGAGATGGTTCTGAGGAGAGAATAGGACCTTCACTAGATGTTGTATAAGGTTCTAATCGCATGATTCTTATTTTAGCTAGATAAATTCGTTTTCTGACATACTATCTTCTTTGATCACCGTACTCCTCATTTTATGGTTACGTCACTTCTTTGGGCAATGTTGAGCACTGTGCTTAGATTCTCCACAATATAAGCACAATCCTTCCTCACAATGACGAGTCTTTTTTTACTTAGTGAGAAGTTTGAAACATAGCACATCAATTTACATATCCTCTACTTCCGAATGTGTGTGTTGAAGAGATGTTGGTGTTGCCATTAAATTATAGTAACATTGAGGTTCACCTGTATGGTTCTCAGATTGGAATTCAAAAAGACGATTGTCGCACTTCATAGCAAAGTCAATTGCTTGACTCAATGTTTGAGGATCAAGTAAGTTGAGCATTAATTATTTTATCTCATATTGTAATCGGTAGAGAAATTGGCTAATAAGTGCAACATCATTCCACTTGATATCAATTATAAGTTGTCAAAACTATGAAGTGTACAACGTTACTGATCTATTTCTTTGTCGCAAAATATAGATCTTAATGGTTGTAACACAAATTGCATCATGTTCTCCATACATGGATCAAAACTCCACCAAAAAAGCTTTTAGATTATCCAATATTGGATCTTGTTGTTCAAAAAAAGATGGAAACTATGATAATGCTGAACTTGAAAGAAGCGTATCAATGAATCTAACTTGCGATCATAGAATTGAATAGCTTTGGGATTGAAGTTCAATCACAAGTTGTACTTGATTAATAAATCCTCTAAACTTTGTTTTAGTGCCATCAAACTTCTCGGATAGGATAATTCTAGGTTCTCTAACATTAGAAGGGCGTTCTACCATAAGAGAAGGAACATGATTTAATGCAAATGTTGAAGTAGCTCCAATTATTTCTATATCTTCACTTCTTGTCAATCTTGTTGCTCCTTGTGGTGGTAAATTGAGTTGATGCATTGCAAGCATTAACTCCTTCAATTGCTCTTGCATTTGTACCATTGCACTCTTCATTTCAAAAAGTTCTATCATGATAACACTTAGAAAAAAACATGTCTAATATTGCTCAAGACAAATAGAAGAGAGGACTTGACAACAAAGAAAATACTAAGGACAATATCAGTTTAGAAGAGGGTAATCCGTAACTTCTAATACGCTTATGTCTTATCAAGAGAAAGGGGTAATCCACTCTTAATCAAGATTAGACAAAGCTCTGATATTGTAAGTATATTCTTGTCAATCTGTCAAGGACAAGAACTTGATAAAAATAAATAAACAAGTGAAACTTTTCTCAAAGAAAGATGATAAAATAGAAATAATTCAATATTTATATCAAGAAAGAAACTAGAATGGCTATTGCCAAAAGACAAGAAAATTAGAGACCCTTGAAACTAGACTAGAAGCAAGAAAGGAGTTGACAAGAGTGAAGAGGGCTTCACTCTGGCCTCTATATATACTATCTAACTAGGAGCTATGTGGCGATGTTCTATAGGACCTCCTATATGTGTTGACTTTGTAGAATACATGCCTTGACTTACAAGACAAGTTTTTCTACGTGTAGGCGACATAGTTAGCTTGGTCTTCAAGCTAACAACATGTGTGGCACATGGCCAACTTATTGACCACGTTTCTAATCTAAAAAGTCAATTGAAGATACCTATACAATCAAAGCAATGTCTATAAAGGTTCTAAGAAGTTTCTATAGCAAATATTATAGAATTAACTTATTTTTATCTACTTTTACTTACTTCTACCTATTTATACATGTAATTACTGGCTTATATGCATATGTTCGTGATAACAAATAGCAATAAAAGATTAGAAAAATTATTCGAGATGGTGGCTATAATTTAAGTAGTAATTAAGATTAGAGGCTATTAAGATTTTAAGGAATCAATCAAAGTGTGATAAAATAAAAATTATAGATAAAAATTATTTATATTAGCAAGTTGTTCTCAATTATAAGTATATCATGTTGGAAGTAAGTGTCATCTTAATCTATAATTTTCTTATGTATATCTTTATCAATTTTATTTATGTTAGATTTGTTATTTTTTTCTTTTTTCTTTTTTAATCTCTTTTTTTGAAGGACATAATTTGAAAGAAAAACATATTTGTGTATTACCAAGAAGAGTGAAAGTTAATAAGCAAGAAAAAAATATTAAACAAAATAGAATTAAAATGGTTATTATCAAATATAAAAAATAGAAAGTCTTGAATAAGACTGTAATTGACAAAAGACTTTGAAAAGTTTGAAGATAGCCTTAATACATATGGAAGCAAGACAAACTACCAAGAAAAATTTATAGAAGTTTTTTAAGGACCATATGATTTGTGGCCTAAGCTTTTAAGTGACTTTGTAAAAATAATAAATCCATGGATCATATTTTTATAGTTGTGTGCCATATCTAAAAGATCCTAAAGATCTAATTCATGTTTATGAAGATTTTTTGATATCTTAAGGAAGAATATTTTACCTTATATGTGTTTAAATGTTTTTACTTATTTATATTTATTTAAGTAATATTAGCATTTATTACACCCTTATTGATCAATACAATTACATCCACACATGGCAATGATATTCTTTTTGCTTGTCTCATATGGCTTATGTTGAATTATAGCTAAGACTTAGATAAATACATATTGATGTTACTCATACCTCATAAAAACAAACAAACAAACAAACATGACTTTACTTTATGCTCTTTTTAAATGAATTTCTTCAAATTTTCTCATAATTGGCAAGTTGATTGCCCAACTTTCTCAAGTCTCCAATCCTATCTACCAACTTGCTCTTGTGCTAATGCTGATTAATCTAATTTGTGCTTATTCATCCAATTGTCTGTGTATAATCAATTATATGTATAATGAACTAGAAAAATGCAAAAAAATAACTTGTTCTGTTACTATTTCTCACAATAAACATGAAGGAAAAACTGAAGCAAGAACAATTATGAGTACTTCTGAAAGGTACACCATGAAGTTGGTTATCAAAAAGGAAAGACATAAGTCCTCAACCCAAAGTCCCCTCTGACGGCGCTTTCACTTTTATCTATAAATAGAAACCTTTAAAGTTTTGGGATACCTTATGTCGTCATTTGTCTGTGCGGGGGATCGGAGCCTATATAGCAAAGGAAACATCATTGGAGCTTTGTGACGCCAATACTTTTGTTGTTAGGGTTTGCGGGTGAAGCATCGACAAATCTATTTTGGGTCTACCCACTCGCCCCGTCACCTCGCCGGCGTCGTCTGCTGTGTGTCTGCGCCCCGGTAGCTTAGATTCATGGCAGCGATTGACACGGAAATGGCGACGGGGCCGACCGGGGAGGGCTCTAGCGCCGGGGTGAGCTCCTCCAGTGCTGTTTCCAAGCGCCCGAAGCGGTTCGAGATTAAGAAGTGGAATGCTGTGGCTCTTTGGGCGTGGGGTAAGCTAAGCCTCTTCTCGCGTAGCATTCTAATTTCTTGATGCTTTGCTTGAGGCGCTACCGGAGAGCAATCTGAGAATTGTTGGATAAGGAGCTTGGGGTTTGCTCTATGCGCTGAGAGGAGCGCCTATCGTGCTATGGTCATATGATTCCGATTGCGGTTTGAGCGTTTGTCTCTGGAAGAGTAACTCTAATTTCTATGGCTGCGGAATCACGGACAATTTTTTTCGTGCTCTTGTTTTTTGATATCTCCCCACAAACTTCACCAAGGATTGAGTTATGTGTGGTTGTTAACCTTGATTGTGTAAGTGAACTTCGGCGATAGTTTCTGATTGAGTTGTTTTGTTGCCATATTTCTTACAGACATTGTGGTGGACAATTGTGCTATCTGCCGTAACCATATCATGGACTTGTGTATTGAGTGCCAAGCGAACCAAGCTAGTGCGACGAGTGAGGAGTGTACTGTGGCATGGGGTAAGATGTTCCGACTTTTCCTAAATATTGCTCCACCGACTAATTTAATTTTTTATTTTGAACTGCTGTGATGTCTGACATTTTAGATTTGGTTCAGGTGTTTGCAATCACGCCTTCCATTTCCATTGCATCAGCAGATGGTTGAAGACGCGACAAGTTTGTCCATTAGATAACAGCGAATGGGAATTCCAGAAGTATGGACGATAAATGCTTTGGGATTTGTGTTCCTATTTTTGAGTGCTTTATATTCTTCTCTCACAGCTTCAGCTGTTTGTAAATTTATCAAGTCTATGCACTCTACTTGAAGTTGTGTAGTGGTGAGGATAGTAAAGTAGAAGCGTTTCTGTAGTAAATATGTTCTCACAACTTCAGATGGAATATAGGGAGTCCCCCCTTCGTTGCCTCCCTCACTGTATTTTCGACATCTCTATCTGCCCCAGATGAGTATGTCCAGTGAATTTTGCATTTTATTTTCATGAGGAACTGTACAGAGAAAATGAATGAGAAAAAGCTTGCAATGTAGTTGAAATGAGGAGAACTTTCCCTTAGTGCGGTCAAGGAATTTGTGCACATCCGGTCATCAACTGTAACATTTATTATGCGAACGAGGAAGTTGTGCAAACTGTAAATTGGCATCGCTCGTAAGGAAAAGTGAGTAGGTTCTGTTCACTAGAAGTGAAGTTAAGTTCAACGCCGTCCAAATACTCCTAAAATGTATCCTCCTTATAAGCGTTTGTGTATGCACATACATGTTCAAAATCTATCTAACTGGATACAACGTCCGGCTGTCGGTACAACTTTAGTATGCATGAAGTTGATTCCAGGCATCTTTCCTCCGACTGAATAGTCAAAACATTCTATTCACGAGATATGTAGACTTCGCATCAGCTCTGATACATGCACAATGATTCCACCAACTTGGGGTCGTGCCGAAAAGTCAGAATATACGATAGACGGTTTGTGCAAAATTAAACAACACAACCACCTTTGCAAAAACGTAGTCTAGATGCAAAATAGGGGTAAACAACACAGTAACTTGCTGCGGCACGTTGTTGCAGTAGAATTCTCAACATCACAGCCAGGAGCAAGGACACAGTTCAATTTTGAAGTACCACAGGCTTGCAGGTCCACGCCTGATAACTATCACGATACTCTGTATAGTACATCTCTAATCTACAGTACACATGGTTATTTTTACACACAACGTGAGATGACGAACATCTTCATAATCCTCACAACCTAGCAATACTCTCGTCAGTCAGAAGCTCAGAGTCTCAAGAGTAAGCACCTCAGCGAGAATCGAGACTTGAGTATTTCTGGGGTTTAGTCTGACAAATCAAAGTTGAGATAAAAAAAAAGTTAGTAACAGACTTAGCCACAAATATTGATCAAGTATTGCAGCAAATGAAGATGAAACAAAGAAAAGTTGCCTGACAGGATTCCACACAACATATTTACAAACAACGTTCAGAAGTACATTCTACAACGCAGCAAATGATAGTGTACTACTCACAGAGCCTTCCTCGTGCACTCGCCAGATGGTTTCTCCAAGAAGATTAGCTACCGATAATACAGTCAATTGAGGAAAATAATTTCCCTCCGCTATCGGTATTGTGTTGGTGGTGATAACTTCATGAAACAATCCTCCCGATAGTCTTTCTATGGCAGGTGGACTGCAGGCACAAAGGATATTGCCTGAATACACAGTAAGTTGTGCAGAGTATTGCATAAAGCAGCAATTACACTTCACACGAAATTAACCCGTAAAATTGGAACAGGCCCACTAATTAAACAAGAGAAAAGATGAGAACAAGTAAAAACGAAATCAGGGCACTAATGTAACCACGAATATTAAACAAAGAGAAATACCGGTATCCGCACGGAATTGAAAGCAAACGCTACCTAAAAACGGCATGTGTACAACAAGCATAAACTTCTCGAGCTCCTTCGGCATGAAGAAGAGCAGCACCATTGTAGATTGTGCCTGAAAGATATTAGTAGAGACGGTACTAGTCAGAACGGTAATAGTAAGACCGCTTCTGCTAGCAGTGCATGAATAGGCATTCATCTGTTCGGGAGTTCTCGACAATCGAAACATATAACGCTAACGCGAACTTAGGCAGGAGATTTCTTTACATGCATATATCTTTCAATTGGCGAGGAAATTTGCTTCTGGTAATATCTACATGGTAATACATGGTAATGAATAGTACAAGACGTGTTCTCATAATTCATTTCTCAACTTCTTTAAGGAACATAGAATTACGGTGGAAAGGCTTACCAGCAGTGTCAATCATATCATCAAGCATAACTGCTACCTTTCCCTTGACATCTCCGATCAGGTTCATCACCTGCCAAACATGAATCAAATATTTCTTTGGTCAGTTTGATACAAGATTTTTCCGTCAAGAAACATACTTAGCTCTAAATGATGCCAAATGACATCAACTATACAGTAGGAAATTACACCATGGAAGAGTAAGTGGTCATGCAGGGTGTATCCACAAAACAAAGTGCATTAGAGATGGTGCGGATGCTGATGCCAATTCACCTCTGAAACATTATGCCCTTGTCTGCGCTTATCCACTATGGCTAGTGGGGCATCTGACAACTTCTTAGCAAATGCACGAGCACGAGCAACTCCACCAACATCTGGTGACACTACCACCAAGTCGTTTGACGATATCATCTTACTTGCCAGGTAATCAAGTATTACGGGCTGCATACAAGGTTTCCCAATTAGACAATAACCTTTAAAATAAAACATGTGAATTTTCCTCCGAGCACAAATAGAACATGTTACACTTGAGGGAGAATAACAAAAAAATAAGAATAACAATAATTTTAAAATTTAAATTTTAAAAATAATAAAATAATAAAACTTGTTAAAATGCTCACCTGACCATACACATGATCGACAGAAATGTCAAAGTAACCCATGGACTGGCCTGAGTGAAGATCACAAGCCAATACTCTATTGGCCCCAGCTTCAGTAATTAAGTTTGCCATTAACTTGGCGGCAATGGATTCTCGTCCTTGAGTCTGTACACCCAAAAAATTCTGTACTTCAGTTGCTGCATAGGATATAATGGCCGTGACTTATCTGCCACTATGGTTGCATCGCTTCCACCCTTGTTCATGCTTTAACAGCTGGATCAACAATTCAACACCATAGCTAGGCTAACTGTCCAATTCATCACAATTAGTACCTACTTCGGGCATTACCTGGCAGTCCATACCCGCATTCAATTACCTCATAAACATTCTTACCGTATTTATTTACAATGATCCTAAAAGAATTGCTAGTGACAACTCTTTCGGATGGAGTTCAAGTCAAGTAATGCAACACTAATGAAGACAATACTATGCTGTGTAATGGCACTCACTTTGCGATCAGCTCGGGCATAGCCAAAGTATGGTATTACAGCTGTTACGTTCTTAGCAGACGCCCGGCGGCACGCATCAATCATAATGAGGAGCTCCATCAAATTCTCATTTGCGGGTGGACCTGTCGGTTGCACTAGAAACACATCACAACCACGTACACTCTCTTGCAGCTGTACATAAATTTCACCATCTGCGAAGCGCTTTATTGTAATCTTTCCCAAATCAAGGCCCATATAATAAGCGATTTCCTGCAATGGCGAACAACCAAGACGAATTCACGTGTGTTAAAGTTCTTGGTCGCAATGAAGCCATTAAATTTTACCAGGACATGCACACGACGAACTGCATAACCAGAAAAAGAAAAAGAAAAACTTATAAATATTCACCAGTTACTTACAATAGCACACATACGTAGACGCAGTTGATGTTATTTAAGTGAACATGGTCAGTATATTGGAACATGGAGATTAGCTAATGCTTATATCATGCCAAACCATTTCCAGAGGAGTTCTGTAGATGAGCGTACCTGCGAAAGAGCCTTATTTGCAGTGCCTGAGAAAATTTTGAGTCGATTCTCTGAACGCATGCCAGGAAGCACAAGTTCCCTTCGAGGTTGAGACGCAACCATGCTGTTCAAGTTCTGGTTCGGCATTACAGGCAGCACAGGACTCCCATTCCAAGATATCGAGGCATCTGATAGCACACATTTCTGCAACCAAAAATTTTTCTTTTCAATTAAAAGCTTGTGAATTTGTTAACCTGATATCATAATGTCGGTTTTCGGTTCTTCACTACAAAAGACTCTAAACCTAATCGGGAATACAGTGAGTAGATCGAATGCTCAATTTGAAGTTGTTCCTATTGAATTTTGATTGCACTCCGGACCAATACTCATCAGATGTTTCTGGAACCAGCATTCTCAGTATGGTGGTTAAGCTGTTATTTTAATCATGTATTACATATTATACGTAGGCGATCTAAGAATATTGTCAATTTTGATTGTAGACTATCTTAAGTCTGGTGAGGTGCAGGGATCTAGAATATTTACAATCTACACAAACGAGTTCTTACTAGCAGCAAACACACATGAAAATTGTGAACCACGCACACAGAGGAACGCGATACTTAAAAGAGCTAACATTAATTTTCCCAAATGCCGCTTGTGTTGTGAGACAATGTGGTGGAATGCATTTGACAGGTGGTATTAAACTGAAGTAATGCGTCCAAATGGAGGCGAAGAAATTGCTGCATAGCTAAAACGTTCTTCATGTTTCGACTCTGACACGTAACAGAAAACTCTTCGGCAAACTTATAAAAAATGAACCACCAGAACTATAACCTGGCTCTGCCTTAACCCTCAGAAACCTCACCCCTCATTTTCAACGTGAAGAAGTGCAGCGCTCATTTCATACAATCTCACGACCTCGAACAATAAAGTTATGTCCCTGAGCTTAGAAAAATTGGACTTACTCAAAAAGATGTGCACCAGGAGTGAAAACAACTTCACAGAATATCTAACAATCAGTTTCAAGTCAAACCTCAAAATAGATCCCGAAAACCCCAAATGCCGCCGCTGCATATCTGCTCATCCTAAAAACGCTTCTCACACGACCATTTCAGACAAGACTCTAGAAAATCACGATAACGCGATCCTGCTGAACCCACCACCCCTTCATGGAACAAGGTGGAGAGTGACAAAACGTACCGGCGGCGCCAACGCTCGTCTCCGAATTCCCCAATTCTCTTCTCCAAGAAAAAAATTCCCCCCTGCAGCCACTCGCATTGGAGCTAATGAACCATCGGAGCCCTGAAGTATGGGCAGCGACAGCCATTGCAAGCCATGGCCAGTTGCAAGCAGCGCCGCCATCGTCGAAGCTATTCCTGCAAGGATCGAGGTTGCCTTCCACACTCGGTAAACTACGCATCGAGATCGACGACGTTCGTTGACAGTTCTGCGGCACCTACGGTTTGTCGTTCACGATGAAGTTCAAATGTGGATGGAGATATATCTCCCGCTGGATTCAAAGCCATGCCCACACGCGTAGACCCATGACCCAGTTAAGAATTTCTAGTTTCTACATGAGGGTAGGATTCTGGATAAGCTGGCGCCGCCAGGCAGACGTTTCTATCACCTAGGTCTTGCATATCAAATTCCGATTTCAAGTAAGACATGCTTCGGGATGTCGTATGACCTGCAAGCATTTCACAGGTTTCTCAAGCAATCACGTAACATCCCCGAATTTGCAGCTCAACTTCTCGACATCACAAGTTGTGTTGACGGGTTGTCCCCGGTTAGACCAATTTGTTTCAAACGTTCAAAAATCCTGTGACATTTTCGGACGTTCTCGATGCAAGTGCTGCGTCGTCCATCTGGCGGCTAATATTACAGCAGCCTTTAGCATTCCGGACACAATCCATGGTGTTGTGCTTTCAGAATATTGCCCTTGGAGACTTCGTGATCGAATCTGCATGCGAGTTTGAATAGAATCTGTCAACTGCACCGCGTTGAGGCTATATTACATTTGGAACACGAGGTATGTTGCCGGCAGTGCTCACAGAATCGACATTTTTCAAAAGGATATGTCTAGTTCATGAGAGAAGATGCTCTGCAAAATTGCCCTTAACGAAAAGTTCTGGGATGAACCTACCAAGCAGTCATAGACCGATTTTTTTCCTAATACGACACTTGGCCAAGACATAGATTTCTTGGGTGTTGATGAAATTGTCCTAGATTTGGTCAGGTGTTCTTGTTCCATTGATGTAGGAGCCGCAGCTTGCATTGGAGCATGGAGAGCTGTCAATATGATTCACAAAGGTTCATGAATGACGAACTGGTCTATCAGTTTTGAGAGGAGTTATTTCCCAATTACTCAAGAGCTGAGAAATAACGTGCGCCTGCATCTCCGTCGTGCTTGAGCAATGGTACAACCTGCATGATTAATTTTAGAGCAGAAAAACAAAAACAAAACAAAACAAAACAAAAGTAGTGAGAAGAAAAGTTGAGAAGGAGGTGAAGGTGTTTATGGCAGAGGAATTGATACTTTAAAAAGCAATTGAGGAGTGAAGAGTAGTAGCCCAATTTTTGTTTGAAGTGTCAAAAGTTGTGGTGACAAGGTTAATGGCTCATAATTTTATCAAGAAGCCTAAGTTTGGTAATGATGTGCTAAAATTGTTGCACCTATTGCAAGGAATGTGTAAAGATTGGAGAAGGTGGCTAGTTGAGGATGGTGATAAGAAATTAGCTATAGAAATTAATAAAGAAGAGTTGTTTAGATGTATTGTCTCAATAACTACCAATAAGTGGGACAACTTAATCAAAGTATTTCTATTGTAACAACAAATAGATGCAAAGTATCAAGCAAAAGGTGAGGATTTGTAGTTTCTTTAAGATGCTCAAAATAATAGGTGAATCAATTTTGGTTGTGAGGTTTGAATTACAAAGTTTAAATATAGGACATAAGATTTAGAATTGCTCCATATTTTTTAAAGAGTCCTTCCAAAGACTTTGTAAAGATATTGGTAACATATTTTGAATGAAGGTATATATTTGAAAATAATCTTCTTGATTTCTATCTTCTTGCATATGAAATGATATTGTATACTTCTATGTTTTATCAAGGGATTTATATCAAGATTCATTGATATTTGGATATTGCCTTTATTATTGCAATAACTTTAGACAAGTTGTGTAAATTGAAGACCAAAATCTTTGGTTAGTATGGTAAGCAAAGTTGCTTTTTTTGATAGGGTGGATAGTAACATATTGTCAAGAACATAAATCTCAAAGAAAGAAATTCTCAATACATTCTTGTGTCACTCAAAAAGACTAAGAAATTACTCAAAGATGATAATATATTGAATTAGAATGGCTATTACTAAAGACAAGAAGACTAAAAAGACTTGAAATAAGACTAAAGATTAGAAAGGCATTAACAAGAGTGAAAAAAGCTTTATTCTTGCTTCCATATATACTATCTAACTATGAGCAACATAATAATATTCTATAGAATCTCCAATACATGTTGACTTTGCAAAACACATGTCTTAACTTGCAAGGCAATTTTTCTATATGTTCACTATATTATTAGCCTGTTCTACAAGCTATCAACACATATTATGCATGATTAACTTGTTAATCAAGTTTTTAACCTACTAATCAACTACAAATACAAGCTTTTTTAGAATATATTATGAAATTAATTTATATTTACTTCTATCTAATCATATAAGTAATTATTGAAATAAATACATATGTCCATTATACATATATTTGGATTCAAGAGAATTCATGCCTACAATCGCTTGCTTCTCAAGAAGCCATATGATTGAGCTAAAATTAATAGTGAAAGTAATATCCATTATTCAATGTTTATCCATCATGTCTCCAATCTAATCAATATCGAAAAAACTTGTGATGTTTGTGATGGATACGATAGATATAGGATTCTAAAATTTGATATATACTTAATATACTAGACAATTTGTTTTAACAATGTAAGATGTGATTGTTGAAAGAAGTGAAGAACCATGAGCATATGCCTACCATTATAAAGATGTCAAATCTATTGTAAGTAAAATAGTACAACTATCCCACTATTGACCTATAATATGTGAAATCATAAGATGCATTATTTATGTTGATTGTGACCTTTAAATTTTGCTACATTAGTATTATTGCAAAGTCTAATTTTTTATGTCAAAAAATTCTAAGACTTCAAGTGCAAAGCTTCGTTGAATCATTGTCAAGGATATAAATTTCAAAAAACTAAAAGATCAATAAATTCTTATGTCATTCAAAAAGACAAAAAAATCACTTTAAAATAATAGAATATTAGACTAGAATGGCCATTATTAAAGATAAGAAGACTAAAAAGTTTGAGAATGAGACCAATGACTAAAAATGCACTCATAAGAGTAAAGTAGGCTTCATTCTTATTTCTATATATACTATTTAATTATAAGCTACATAGCGACATTCTATTGGACCTCCAATATGTGTTTAATTTATAAGACATATGTCTTAACTTATAAGACAGATTTTCAATTTGCACGCCACATGATTAACTTGTATTAGAAGCTATCTACATGTGCAATACATAGCTAACTTGTAAGCTAAGTTTTTAACCTATCAATCAACTATAAATATAAAAAGTCAAACACACATCTAAAAAGCTTTTAAGAAGCTTTGTCTCAAGATAATATCAAATCTACCTACCTTTATCTTCTATCTAACACTTCTTATCTAGATAAATATGTATGTTGGTGACATTACCTCCTCTTTTAAGAATGAGTTCTATAAAGAACAATCATTATATGTTGATAAAGTTGAAAATGCAACAAATTAGATTTGTCACATACTCTGATTTTTGTTTTTGTTTTGGTTTTTTTTTTTTTTGTTTTTTTTTGTTAAGGTAGATAATAGATCTTCTTATCTATTGATAATATCCTATACTAAGACAAGAAGATAACCTTGTTATTTGATCATAGTTGAAGACTTCATAACTCTTTTCAAATAAAATATTTTGAATACTATCAAGAGTTGTTCATACCTCCAATAAAATCACCAAACATCAAGACTCTTTTTCAAAGTTGTAATATCATATGTATTGTATTTTATCATTTATTTAAAGAAGAACATGTCATTCTTAAAGATCGTCATTTCTACTACATTGTCTTGAAGGCTACGACAATTATAATGTTTTATCAAATAAGTTAATAAGTTATAGCTCTTGAATTGAAACTGTTGGTTTTTGGTTCTCCATCTTAATACTACAAATATACAAAAATTACAAATAAAGATAGAAGGTAGAATTCTATTATTTCTAAATTATGTTTCTTTTAAAGTAAAGATTTGGTATTTTTCATCTTGATTTTAATGGATGATGGATGTCATCAATGAAAAGAATTAATTTTATTTTTAATTATTTTTATATTTATAAGATTCTTTAATTTTCTATGTGTATTTATTAATATCACATCCATACCAACAAATAAGATATTTTAATCTATTTTGGCATTATCTTAAATCTAAGACTTCTTCTATATCAAACTCTTGATTATTATCCACTTCTACAAGAAGAGGTGATATTTGTCTTCTTCTTGAGATATTCATTGTCTTATATAGTTCAAAAAGAAACACGTTGTTATATAGTAATATGACTTAATGGTGAAAAATGAAAACATGGATATTGTTATAGAAGAATCTAATAGAAAGATGTAGTAAAAAAATAAGGATAAATGATAAGAAGGTAATAAAATGTTTAGTCTTAATATTGTCTTTTAGAGAAGAGGCTTCTATTTACTTTATAGAGACATAAATACCTCAAATCAAAATAAATAAAATAAGTAATTGATATAGACATATTTAGAAGAAATTTATCAATAGGTTTAAATAAAAATTATCTCAATTTATCAAATATTGATATCCAAAGAGGACTAATTGTCAATATGGGTCAAAATCAGATCCCAAGGCACAAAACCACACACCTATGGTGATTCTAGGATTCTTTGGTAGATTAAAAAGTGTAATTTTAGAGAAAACTTGTAAAGAAATTTTTGAGCATTGGTTTTATATCAATGAAGTTAATATTCAGTTTTTGGAGAATTTTCAAAGTTAGTAATGTTTTTGATTAGATTAGATTTTAAAAACTAAAGTTATGTTTATAAAATTGAGGATCTCTAGAATTTTGTAGTATATACACAAGTAAATTTTGGATAAAATGTTGTTGTATTAATTGTAAATCTGTATGCAAATTTTGAAGTCAATCAAACAATTAGATTGGTGTGTGTGAAGGATTTTGTAGATTAAGGTCTCAAAAATTAGAATTTAAAGGTTAGTGAATATTTTTAAGAACTTTAGCACTTTATCAATTGGATTGAAGTGAATTTTTTTATATAGAATCTAGACTTGATTTTCAATAGTTTAAATAAATTTTGAAAGCAATTTATTAGTTCAAGAAGGAGATATTGGTAGTAGAAGTTCAACATTCAGATTTCATAGAAGGTTGGCCAACACCCAAGCAAAATTTAGGATTGATCTTCCATTTGATAAGTTAGATCTTCTTCAAATTTTGTGTACTTATTGCTAATTTAGTTTTTAAAAGGTGTATAAAATCTTAAGCAAGATCAATAGTAAAATTGATAGATATTGAGGTTCTTAAAT